TCTTAAACACTATTTTTCTTCAAGTTCTTTCATAAATCGTACAAGAAAAGAAAAGGGACTACAAGGTTTCTGGGATGTCAGCTATTCTTGCAGATATTGTTTTGCAGGATTACCTTTGAAACTTCCTTTCTTGCCCTAGAATTTACACTGGTACTGTCGGTAATGACTGTAAGAAATAGAAGCAGCACTAATGGGTATGGATCACTGTTCTCCTAAACTGTAAAAAAAGGAACAGGGGGGATGATGACTTTGTAAGATAGATCAATGCAGCTGCAGATTGATTCTTATGCTACAGAGGTTATTTTCCTTAAATGGCATCATGCCTTACACATTCTGCTGAAGGCTGCCCATACCCATTGAAGTTCATGACAGCTATTCTTAGACATTCTTTCATTTTTAACATCATTACTAAGATTACTACTGTACTCTTTTTTAATGAGAATGAAGAGACAGTGTCTCTTTCATCAAGTTCAAATCTATTTAGCTCAAATTAAAACTATTTGCTATAACTTTGCTACAGTTATTCAAAGGATTAGTAAGAAAATGTCACTGAATTGCTACTTGTCTCCTCATTAACATTCATGGCAAAATCTTTCGTAAGGCTGCTTTTGGCTGCTACTTGTCTGTAAAACAGACATTATTATATTATTATCAGTGATAATAAGATGATACTATTACAGCTACACTGGGAGCAAAGTATTTTTAAGCTGCTTTGAGGTATACAGTGGAAGTCCCGAGAACTGGAGCATGATTGCCTGTCTACTGCTAGGAACAGGGAATAGACGATCATTACATGCCTGCATATTTGGATGAGTCCTACTGAAAGCCTTGAGGCAGAAAAAAATCAGTATCTGCTGGGATTCTTCACTTCTTGTGTGTTTCCTGTCTGCTGGAAGTGTTTTGCATTCCGTTTCCTGGTTTTTGGAAGGGTTTGTGAGTCCCATTGCTGAAACAGAAGTATTGCATTCTTTGCTAGGAACATTTAGCACTTATTCTTTCAAAATAATTTTTCTCATTTCAAGGCTTTATTTCTTGGACAAGATTCTCAGGAGAAGATTCTTTGGATCCTCATGGATCTATTAGTGAAGTTTCAGATATTGATTTTTTTTAAATGACCATCCAGTGTGGCAATGCAATGGCAAACATCTGCACATAAGGCTCAGCCAAGAAAAAAATTGGCAGCTGGTATTGTGTTTTATAGTGTCATGCTAATTCACACTGATTGTCTAGAATATGGAAACCAAATGAAAAATGCTATTGTCAGACCTTTGGCTCTCAGACAACTTTGAACCTCACATACAATAAGAAATAAAACATTTAGGAAAAAAATAATCTATAAGGATGGAGCAGCTGAAGTCTCAACACAGTGACAGCCCCTTAGATATATGGAGGACAAACAGATAAGAAAATAGTAGGAGTGTACAGGGCTTTAGGAGGCAAGAACTGATTGCCAATTAAAAGAAAGGCATCGTTTCTTATGATCATAGCTGACTGCAAAATGCGTAGTAGTTTCTAAAGTTCTCTGTTAGGAATTACATGTTTAGCTTATACTGCTTATAGAAATTCATTCTTGCAGAGATTTGGAAAGCCCTGCACTTCAGATAAAATGAAATATAAAACTGACATAGAAATTACATACGAGCATTGCCAGCAGGCCAAGGGAGGTGAACCTTTGGCTCAGCTCAGCAGTAGCAAGGCCACTTCAGAGTGCTGGGGACAGTTCTGGGCTCCCCAGTACAAGAGAAATATGGACATACTGGTGGAAGTCCAGCAAAGGGCAGTAAGAACATTAAAGCACTGGACCATATCTTGGACGAGTAGAGACTAAGAGACCTGGGATTGTTAATCCTGGAGAAGAGAAGGCTCAAGGGGATCACATCAATGGATATAAATGTCTGTTGGGGAGACTAAAGAAGATGGAATCAGGCTTTTCAAAATAGAGCAGTGACAGGACAAAAAACAAAGGGCACAAAAATATAAATATATAAACCCAGGAAATTCCACCTAAACACAAGAAAACATTTTTTTACAGTGAAAATGGTCAAACACCGGCATGAGTTGCCCAAAGAGACTGTAGAATCTCTATGGAGATATTGAAAACATAGCTGCACATGGTCTTGGGCAACCTGCAGTAGCTGATCCTACCTTGAGCAGGGGGGTGCTGATTAGATCATGTCCAGAGATGCCTTCACATCTCAGCCATGCTCTCATTCTGTGATTCTGTGTAAGAATGTGTGTCTTACCAGAGGCTAAAAACACAATGTTTAAGTTACAGCAAATCGAGTTTTCTTAGAGATTAGTTCATGACTAGGAATTTAGGGCAAAATCCTGAAAAGGTAAACAGACCTCAAATTACCTCTCAAAATGGAAATAATAAAATCTTTCAATCTATGATTAAGTATATAGGGTTGAGGAACAGAAAACAAGGTAAGAAAGGCAAGGCATATGAAGGCCAGATCATAATTCAATAAAGAGTTCACATAGCGCTAGAAAATCTTATGTTGCAAAGATTAGCATTACCCTAAGACGTGCCTGGTACATCATAAAAAAAATTGCAAGACTCTGCAAGACCTTCTGTATCCTTTTGAAGAGTCTGCAAAATTATACCAATGCCTGCACAAAGAGGTTGGCAGCAACACTAGTTTAAAGTGCCTCCTCAGGAGAGTAGTGCTAATATACTCTCTATTTTAACATTACTTAACTGTTCATATGCTTTTTTATTTATTAGATATGCTGCTCCTGATAAAAACACAGGTCCTACATACAACGTCCACAAAATCATCACAATCAGCTGTATTTGTTCTGCTATTTGTAGCATACTAGCATCAGGTGGCAGATTCATGTATCAGAACTTCCTTGTGCAACCAAAATATCAAACTAAACAACAACAACAACAAAGTTATTTTTGAACAGTTAAAACTTTGATGTTATCTAAAAATCCAATACTTGCTTCATACCACAAAACATCATTCTATTTTCAACTGCAACAAATTTATCTGGTTTATACTGAAAGACAGCCTATTAGGTGAATGTATTTTTCCATTAATGTATTTGCCCTTTTAGAAAGGCTGAGCAGTTTCTCCATAAAAGTGAACAACTTTAGAATAGTTTTAGAATAGTATTAAAATACTGGAAGTATGCACAAACTTCAAATGGTCTTTGGCAAGACTTCACAATGCAAATTCCCTTCAAAATATCAATGACAAACCAGAAGAAACCACTTAGTCTTTTAATCCAGCTTCCTGCAGAACAGACCCCTAAGAGTCCCAGAATGCAGTATTTTCAACAGAGCAGGAACTTTCAGCTATATACCTTATAGTCAGTTTTAAGGTACAGAATGTCAGGTTACTGAAGAAAACCATAACGTTTGGCACCTCAAGTTGCCAAAGAAGTAGTAAGGTGCCATCTGAGCTCTGTGGTCACTGAGCCCAGTGATCATGCTGGCTTCCTTCTAGAAAAAGAGAAAAGCGCTGTATGTGACTTAGATGGTTTGAAATGTCTGTTCTGCTTGCATACTCATCTTACAATACAACACGGAACTTCAGGAAATTTTTTTATAGGCCTTGGAAGCCAAGTAAAATTTTGAAAGCCCACTACACAGAAATTTCCAGCTTCACATTAAAAAGGGAAGCCATCACAACACAGAGCACTGCAATAATTCACACCACATTCCTTCCAAGGACTGAGGACACTTTCTAAATGACATTAGCATCTGATCTGCTCCTGAGGACTTTTCTTCAACTTGTCCTCATATTATACATTTCTCATTCCCTCCTTTTATAATTCATATTCCCTTACGTGTTACATTCAGAGAATCAATGTCAGAAAAAAAAATTAAAAAAAAATCTTTAATTGGATAAAGATAATAAAACAGAGTGACTCTAAGGAGTGAGAGACGTCTTCACTTTTTTTTTCTGAATGTGACCTCTGTATTTCAAAGTAAGCTTCCAAATTCAGGGATAACCTTTCCACTATTCTCCTACATGTGTGCAAATGCTACATTACCTGGGGTTAGCCAGCTTCACTGTACTGCTCCTGATTGCAGGCTTTCTTCCTACATGCAAAGATGCTGCTCTGCAATCCTCTTTGCAATGCCAGTTTACACTTCTTAATGCCAGATCCTTTCCAATTTACACATATGCAGAAATGCTCAGGGGGACACTTTCAACACAAATACAGATTTAATATTTAGATAAAGCCATGATTGAATATTCTGGAGCTCTTTTACTCTTTACTAATCTGCAGTTTATGAGAAAAGCTCAATACAGTGTGACTTGTAAATACACAACCATAAAAACTGCTTAATATTCATTATTTAAAGACAAATATTTAGGAAATTGTGACACAGAACCCGTGATCTTACAAAGATCTTACAAAAGCTGAGGACCAGAAGGGATTGGAGTACTGATTAGGAACAAATAAAAACCCCAAACTGTCCTTGTCAATTAAGCTTTCTAGGTATAAAATATACATTCAATACTGCTAAAGTGGTTTGCATGACAATCCCTCTCAATGCAACTGAGGCCCTAATGTTTGGAAACCAGAAGCCCTCTAGGAGACTATGTACAACACAAGATAACAATGCAGAAAAAAATCTACAGCCTTAAGGCTACAAAAAGGCAAAGTACAAAAAACCTGCTTTTCAATAGCAATAATCATGGGAGATACACAGTGCATCTTGCAACAGTGAACATAACTGCAAACCTAATTTTGCATTTGAAACTAGGAAACAAAAATTATAAACCTCTCTATGCATATCTAAACTCTTTTTGTCAAAATTAGCCAAGCCTGCAGGCAGTTAACAGTCAAATTCTTGATGCCATTGCAATTAAAGGCAATGCTCACAAAGCTGATAAGCATACCAGCTGTAACTTAACCCTTATCTTAGCCAAACTGATAACTCTAAATGTGATATCTAATTGTAAAGAAAAGAACATTAAAATGTATTATGGATTTTAAATGCCATAACCTTGCAAAGAGGAAAATTATATCCAGCCTACCATCAAACTTCTTGTGTCGGGATACAAAAGTGGTGCGTACAAAGTGACTTGTCTCCTCCACTAAGTTTTCAAACTCCAGTTTGCTCTGCTGGCTTAACTTGTCCTCCATTTCTGAGGTGCAACATGTATATTCCTGAGGGCAAATTCTTAAATGTTCCCCTGGAATCACAAGAAAAAAAGAATTAGATATATTTGAATACAGATATACATGTGTCAGAAACAAATATACATGATGTCTCTTCAGTTAAGGAAAGTGGGCTCCCTCGAGAGCTCTTTAAGTCTTGACTTCTTGATTGGGAACACTTTGAGTCTCTATCAACAACTTTGCTGTAGTTAGGCATTCCTCACACAGGAGGAGAGACACACTTTGCAGAGTTGTTGGGTTTTTTTCATGTCAAAAGTGATTCTTCACGATGAAGCAGCCTTCCTCATAAACAGACATATACTTAAAAGTTCAAAGACAATCACCTGCTTTCTGTTATGTATTCAAAACACCAAGGAGAAATACCTATTGAGATGTCCTGTTACAAGTCATCAGAGCTGTCTTGTTGTCAAAACCTGAAAATCAGAATTTATGTATTTCTGTAGATAGGTGTCATTTGTCCAAATGCACCAAAACATTCTCCCCTTGTATCCTTCTTCCTTTCTGCTTGACTAAATGTATTTTAATGACCATGTTTAGGTGCCACATGTTTTCTTGGGCAACATTTTTTGTCAGACTGGGGAAGTGTTCTGCTGAAGAGGAGAAAGCAATGAAGAGTTTAATTAATGCTTATGGTATATGAAAATGCAATGTAAAAGGTAATGAAAGCCTCTTATTTAATTCAATAGATTTATCTCTTGAAGCACTGTGCCATTTTTCTGACAATATTGCTTTCTTCGGTACAATTTGCAAGTGGAAACCAATTCTTTAGCTCATGAAATTAAAATGATCTGTTATTACATGAAATGTGAATTTCCAATTGACATTGTAGTATGGATGTCAGAAACATTTAGCTCAGTTTGTACAAAGGCAGGAAATTCTACCAATCCCTCTCGAGAAATAAAAAGAATGATCTGCCTCTATGATTAAAGTTTCTTGTAAGGCAATGAAAACATTTAGCTTTCTATACACAGAATCCTGATTAAAAATCCCTCTGCAAATCTCTTAAAGGTGCAAATAAAATGATACACAAAGCCCAAGGGTTAAATAAATCCTGGGGACCTGATTCTCATTTATATTGAGGCTCCTTTCTACAAGTCCTGAGCTGTAAAGAAGATTTAAATGTGATTCATACTTTAAGGCTACTTTTCACCATTCTTATTATGTAGTGAGGAGAATCAGGCCCTAAGGTTTATGCTTCCCAGAGGCATAATACATTTAGCTAATGCATCTTTGTGAAAACAGCATCAAAAAGAGGGTCTACACATGCTTAGAATAAACACTGTCATGAGTTTGCCCTCACTTTATTCCAATTTTTCAGTTTTTGAATGGTCTTTTAATTTGAAATCTAGTCATTCCTCCACCCTGACCTATAACCCCTGTCTTAATTTGTTTTTTCTGCAAGAGTTCATAATACATGAATGCCATGAGATTTCTTTTAGCAGTCTCAAGAGTTTTTAAAATCTCACAGCTATACATCTTCAGGAAGGATAATTTCATTATTATCAGTTACTGTTTGGAAGTACTACCTACAAGTCCCAGTCATGTCCAAAAGCAGTATGATATAAAACGCTGTATAAACCTGGAAAAAGAGATACCCTATGAACATAAAAACAACTGAAAGGTTGTTTTCTGCGCCAGCTACACCCCAAAATTACTTTGTCTCCATTCTCAAAATCATGCACCCCAGCCATAAAAAACACATATAAGAACTAGTGACCCAGCTGCTGTCAAACACAGATGATGGTTATCTTACCTTCTACATCACTGTCACATTAACCTGAAACTATTCAACAAGCAACATGTGACTGCAGAGGTACCACAGTAAGACATAGTAAGAATTATTTTAGTAACAGTAATATTTTGAGTTTTTCTAAGATATCAGAAAGGCAAGGAAAGCTGAAATAGTGTCATTAGAAGCAGTGCCATGTGTTTCATTAAATAATTATAAAAAAGCAATACCCCATCCATAGTATCTGTAACCACCTTTCTTGATAAACCCAGCAGGTTTTTTTTGACTGGAAAGGTCACTTGGGTAGACCTACTAGCTCCATTTCAGACACTGTGTTAGTTTATGCCTTCTGTAATGATAATGTCGTCTAGTGCTGTTGCAGTCAAGAATTTTTACAACATTCACTTTTCTTTCCTCTGTTAATTTAAAGTTGTTATTTTTGTTTTAGTTGTTGGCTTTGTTTTTGTTTTTCTTCTATCTGACTCTGTTTGTTTTTCATAACTGCCACACTAAAATGAACTAATGCTAATCATCAAGGCACTGTGCTGCTTTGTCAGTAACATCTATGGGTCTACATTTTTAAGACTTTGTGTTATGCTGAGTATATGGCAAAGTAAAGCATATTTAACTCAGTCAAGGAGCCATTTTTGTAGCAATATTCATTTTTCTCTCGCTTATTTATTTACAGTCTTACTTTGCTACAAAAACGACTTCCCATCTTGGCTGGTACAAACTCATTCAAATTCCTACTGTGTTTATTTCTTATACACACATTTTCATTAAGGTTCTTCTTTTTAATTCTCTGGATCTTCATTCATTCATGAGGCTCTTTACTGCTGAAATATGAAACTCACATTTATCAGCAATGCTCACAATTTCTGCACTACCTCATTGCTTTCCTGTCCTATCCTAAATCATCTATATTTACCACACCCCTCCATCACAAAAAACTTTTAAAAGCTATTATCAGCTTTTAAAAATAACATTTCTAGTTCTCCCTCTTCCCCTGACATAAACTCCCTGCGTTTTGTTAGAAAGAAATAATAATGTAAATATTTTGCTACCTTTCATATTCTGCTTCAAGATTTTTTTTTTCCTCCTCCTCCCTCCTGCACTGAAGGCTCAGGTTAGACCACAGACAAAACAAAATCATCTTGAATTGCTCCATGCCAATGGGGTTTTTGTAGACCTAAGTGGTTCAAATATACTTTGCAAAGATGTAGTCTTTAAAAATCATGGCTCGTGAGCCCTAGTATGTTTGTACTGACTGGCTGCTTGCAGTTTCTAAAAGCTCACAACTTGAACAAAAACTTGGGTCCTTTCCTGAGAATGGAGGATAGAAACAGTCATTATTTATTTTTCTTTGTGCAAATTTGTGATACAACAGACTGCCTGGATTGGAAATAACACTGATCGTGTTTCCTCTGTTTCCCTGAACAGAATTATTTGCCATTTGGATTTTGTAATATATTTTGTAATATAATTTGCTCTACTCCTCTAAAAGGAATTTAATCACTGATCTGTGTATTTGCACACCTTACACATTTTGCAAACTGAAAATGTGCTCACAGCTAATGTACCAATTCTTGCCCAGGGAAACTCCATATGGTCTACATTTTTATGCTAATTTTAGCAAAGATTTTTATGGCACAAGCGGCGTTGGACATAACGAACTAGTTTTCCTTGTTGCCAATGCTGCTTCCCCAGACAAGTCTGACAGAATGTAGTTCCGCTGCACCAGCATTTTGCCAGACTAAACAAGTATTAACTCAGCAGTTCCCAAGCAACCTACCACAACTCTTCTAACCACCATTTCCAGCTGAAGATGCTGACCTACATATCTCTCCTCATAGGGCTTATGTTATATAAATCAAATCAATTGCCTCCTCCAAATTCAGCTACCAGTATTCAATTTTATTACAGCTGTAATCTCACACCTGCCTTCACATGATCCAAACTGGCAAGTTTTGCAGTCGAAATCAGCAATCCTGCTAGCATGTTACTTTGAAGTGTGATAAAACAGTTTATAAAGGATGTGGTTTATATTCAGACATATTACAGTTTGGTGTCCCCATAACATGCTACAAGTCTCACAACAGTCTGAAAAAAATTGCTACTTAGAACTCTCAAGCTGAATAAATTCTTCAATCGTGTATCAAAATGCCAGAACTGATCTCTGTGTGGTAACTACTTACAGAAGATACTATCTCAAGGAGCAGCAAACCCTATGGAACTTAACATTGCCCATAATAATTTCACTGCCAGATTTCCTGACCACCTGATGCAAGCACGGGTTACGTTATTAGAACTGGAACCATGATCACATAAAATATTTTACATCAGCTAGATTTTTTTATGGGTCATGTTGCAATTTAAACAATTTCAGAAACACTAGTTTCTGAGGCAGTAAATATTTTATAGTTTCTAAACTAATAATAAATTTTAAAACCTGGTGTTTTGGTTGACAGAATGGTAGGACTAACTTTATGACTGATAAGAACAGAAACATACAGTCACCACATTGCTTCATAAATCCAGCAATGAATAAATATTAACAGAGAAAAGGGGAAAATTCAAGGTGTGCTTTCAAACTTGTATGGATCAACAGAGCCTAAATGGAGAGAAGACAAGAAGACAGACCTGCATCTTTCATCCTGCAGATTATATTGTGACTGAGGCTTTCTCTTTAACCATGTTCTTCAAAAAGTTGAAATACCCACTTCAGGTATTCATATGCAGCCATTTGTGGAGAAGGCAGTGTAATTTATTAACAGTATGAAATTTAACAAGGACAAGTGCAAAGTCCTGCACCTGGAAAGACCAAAGAGCCCAGTACAGGCCAGGATCTGCATGGCTGTGGATCAGCTTTGCTGAAAATGACCTGAGCTCCTGGTGGACAAGAAGCTCAACGTGAGCTAGGAGAGCACCACGGCAGCAGCGATGGCAAAACAGATACTGGGGTGCATCTGCAGGGGCATTACTAGAAGAGATAAAGACATGATAATCCCACTTGACTCAGTGCTTGTATGGCTACACCAGGAGTAATGTGTCCTATTCTGGTCCCCAGAAAGAAGGTGCAGACAGACCAGCAAGGTCCAAAGAAGAGCCATGAAGATGATCAAAGAGCTGGAGAACCTGCCCTGTGCAGAATGACTGAAGGAGTTAGGTCTTTACTCCCTGAAGAAGAGAAGGCTCAGAAGGGGCCCTCAACACAGTACTTAAAGGGCAGCTACAAAGAAGACAGAGGCTCTTTCTTCAGAAGGAACCCACAGAGACCAGGTCAGTAGGTACATGTTGCACCAGGAGAAGTTTAATCTCGACAAAAGAAATACTTTTTTTACAGTGAGAACACTCAAGCACTGAAAGAACCTGCTCAGGGATGTGATGGAGTCTGCATTGGTGGAGGTTGTCAAGATGCAATTGGACAGGGTGCTAGATAATCCCATCTAGGCTTCCTTTCCTATAATGCCTTGAACCAGATGATGTGTCAGCGTCCTCTTCAATCTGGTCTCTTCTATAGTTCTGCAATTGGGCACTTCAGAGCTTCCTACATCTCAGAATTCCAGAAGACTGAAGCAGTTGAAGTTATGTTTCTAAATTACCATTTTCCTTCTATTTTTCAGTATTTTTAACATTTTAAAAATTATTTTAAAAATATGATTAATAGAGTCAAAACAAAAACTTTATTCAGCTTTAACCCTTGCCGCTGTTTTGGATTTGGATCTTTTTCTGTATTGGTGAGGATGTTTCTGAATACCTGCTTTTTGAAGTTTTCCACTGAAGTCCTCTGCTGGTAAAATCA